TCTACAATTTCATAACAAAGCCAAATAACTTGATTTTAAAATGGGTATATGACTTGAGTAGATGTTTCTCTGGAGATTAGATACAAATGGACAATGAGCTTGTGACAAACATGTGTAAATCAACCTCAGTGAGATACTTCATACCCACCAGGATGGCTCTTAACAAAATAAAAACCCCCCAAAACAGAAAGTAGCTTGCTCTCACTTTCTCTCACTCACACCTCCTCCCCAACTTTTTGGTCTCTCTTTTTAGATGTATAAAGCAAAGACTGATAGAAGTAAACAAAACAAGAAAGATAGTTCAACAGTAACAGGTCTGGATCAATTACTTAAACTTCCTCTTAAGAAACTGAAAAAAGAGCACAAACTGAACCCAAAGCAAGAAAAATTAAGGGAAAATAAAGATTAGAAAGATAAAATAGAAAAGTGGTAGAGAGATATTAATAAAACCAAAGTTTAGTTATTTGAAATAGCAATAAAATTGACAAACGAAATGAGAGAAGATAACATTTCCAAAATCAGGAATGAAAGAGGCGTCATTGCTGGTGACCCTACTGAAGTCAACTGGATTATAAAGAAATACTATAAACAACTTTATGCCTACAAATTAGACAACTTAGATAAAATGAACAAATTCCTAGAAAGACATGAATACCAAAACTGGCATAAGAAACAGAAAAACCTAAATAGACTTGTACCAGGCAAAGGAATTAACTTAGTGATGAACAATCTCTCCACCAAGAAAAGCCCAGTCCACCCTGCAAGGCATCCCTGCTGAGTTCTCTGTCAACCATTTAAAGAAGAGATGCCAACCTTTCCCAAACTTTTTCCAGAAAACAGAAGAGAAACACGTTCTTGTTCACTCGCCAGTGTTATCCTGATGCCAAAGGCAAAGGCGTCACAAGAAAACTAGGGACCAGGGTTCCTCATGAAGACAGACACAAACACCCTTAGGGAATATCAGCAAACCAAACCCAGCAACGTGTAAAAATATTACACACCGTAGCCAGGTGAGATTCATCCTAGGAGTGCAAAGTTTAAATATCCAAATCAATTAATGTAATATACCAAACTAATAGAATAAGAGACAAAAACAACACGATCATCTCAACAAATGCAGAAAAATCATTTGGTAAAATTCAATATCCATTCCAGATAGAAACATTCAACGAACTATAGAGAAAGGAATTTCCTCAACTTGAGAAAGGGCATCTATGACGAACCACAACGTCCCCCTCAGTGGGGAGGAGGAAGCGCCCGTCCTCCTGGGATCTGGAGGGCGGCGAGAGCGGTGGGGGACTCTTCCGCTTCTATCACGTTGGAGGTTCTGGCCAGGGCAATAGGCTAACTAAATAAAAATTAAAAGCTTGTAGATTGGGAAGAAAGGGTTAAAACTCTTTATTCACAAATGGCATGATTCTGTGTGAGGAATCCATTTTTACAAACTAGAAGTAATAAATATAATCAGCCAAGTCACAGACTAAAATGCCAAAACATTAAAAAAAAAAGAAATCAGTTGTGCTCGGGCTGGTGTGGCTCAGTGGATAGAGCACTGGCTTGAAGACCAAAACGTCTCTGGTTCAATTCCCAGTCGGGCACATGCCTACGTTGTGGGCCAGGTCCCCAGTAGAGGGTGCACGAGAGGCAAACACACACTGATGTTCCCTCTCTTTCTCCTTCTCTTCCCCTCTCTAAAAATAAATAAAATCTTTAAAAATTTTTTTAAAAAATCAGTTGTATTTTTATATGAGAGCAACAATCTAAAATTGAAATTAGGGAAGCTTTTCATGGATAGATCAAAGCAATAAAATACTTAGGAATAAATTTAACAAAAGAAGTGCAAGACTTGTATGTGGAAAATCATACAGCACTGCAGAGAGAAAGCAAATGTGAATTCGTGAAGAGACGGTCCACGTTCATGGACGGAGCAGGCAGCGTTGTTCAGACAGCACTTCTCCCTAAACGGATCTACGGATTCAATGTGCGCCCATCAGGATCCGGGCCAGCGGATTTGTTTACAGAAATTAACAAACTTCTATAAACACAGGAGAAAATATTTGTGACCTTGACTTGGACAAAGTTTTCTTAGATCTGACACCAGAAACAATCCATCAAAGAAAAAAATTTGATAAATGAGGCCATCAAAATTATAAATGTTTGTGATTCAAAAGATACATTAAGAAAACAAAGAGGCAAGCGCAGAATGGGAGAGAATCATATATGTGACAAAGGGTTTGTATTTACTCAGATAATTCCTACAACCCAGTAAGGCAAGCAACTCAATTAAAAATAAGCAGAAGATTTGGATAAACATTTTGCCAAAGAAGATAAACATGAACGGCTAACAAACACATAAAAAGCTGTTCCGAATCTTCGGTCATTGGAGAAATGTGAGTGAAAGCCACTGTGAGAGTCTACTACATACGGGAGTGGCGGGGGTCATAAGACTGACGATAACAAGAGTCTTGGGGATGCGGTGCACCTGGAACCTCACAGAATGCTGGCGGGCATGTCAAGTCGGGGGGCGGGGGGGCAGTTAGACACTTTCTTAAAACGTTAAACATACACTTAGCATCTGATCCAGAATCCCACGCCTCGGTATCTCTCCAAGAGTAATGAAAACATGCTCCGCAAGCCCTGTGATTGTTTACAGCAGCTCTGTACGTAATTTGGAAACAACCCAAATGTTCATCAGCAGGTAAAGAGATAAACAAAATGCAGTATATCCATACAATGGGTCCGAGTCAGCCACAATAAGAAATAAAACTACTGACGTTGGACGACGCGGATGAACCTCATGTTAAGGGAGGGAAGCCAGACACAGAGACTACCTACTGTATGACTTTTATAGGAAACATTCAGAAAAGACTGATGGACGGCTACAGAAAGCAGATGGGTGAGTGTCTGGGGTGGGGCGGAATTGCAGGTGGACTGCAAACCAGCACAGAAGTCATTTGCTGGGGGGATGAAAACATTCTAAAAGTGATGAATAGGTTGATGATAGCGTGACTCTACAAATTTACTAAAAATCACTGAACTGTGTATTTACAATGGGTGAATTTTACGGTAAGTAAATTACACCCCCATATCAAAGCTGTAAAAACTATAACTGGCACAGGGGAGGGGCGCCCTCCCACCCAGAGCCAGCCCTCCTGCCCTCCCACCTGTTTCCACAAGCTCCTCCCCCACCTCTGCCTCCCCCAGAGCCTCCCAGACTCCCCGCGGTGTTGCTGGTACAATGATTGCCCTCCATCCACAGACCCAGGTGGTCAAGATCGGCATCAGTGACCACCAGGTTTCTCTCCCAGTTCCTCCAGAAACACTCATGCAGAGAGAAGCCAGACCACGTGCGTCCAAAGTGCCTTCCGCAGGCCCTGGTCATCTGTCACACAGGAACCACGAAGTTCTACTCAGCAGCTAAACGCAGAGATTGACCCTGGCACCTAAGTTAATTGCGTTACAAAGTGATGCTTTCAGAATCCAAGTCAGCCACTTCCATACCCATTTTACTATTAACATTCTCACAATCTACTCTGGTCTGCCACCCTCTGGACCTGGACCAAACCCAACCAAGCCACACCCTGTGTCTGAGAAAGAGCCCGGGGGGTGGGGTGCACGAGGCCTGACAAGGCCCAGCACCTCCATTTACCTGTAAGCAACCCTGGGCAGTGCAGCACCTGGTACTCGCACACTAATTTCACAATAACCAGGGCAGAAAGCTCCTGCTTTGGAGCCCTCAGGTCCCAGCTTTGCACTTTGCTTCACACTCTGTGGCCTCAAGTCCTGGCAGAGTTCCATCCATTGCTCTTCCCTACAAGCTACAGCCCTGCTGCAGGCCCACGCCGGATGGATTTGCCCAGCACCCAACAGGCTGGTAAACAGTATCAGACCACAGACCCTTCCTCTGGTCCAGACGCTGGCTGAGTGGTGAGGAGATGGGGAGCAGCAGTAGGACCTACCTGGGGCAAGGACTGTGCCGACACCACCGAGGCGGGTCCCCTGGTCACCAACCCTGCACACGGCACTACCTGGTGGGAAGGTTCCCTCCTTGCCAATGGACCCCCAGGCTTGGCCCAGCAGCCGGAAGGACTCAGCAGTATTTGTTGCAGGCACCTCGCTACTTTACACACCACAGGTTCACCTCGTTTTCTTGTGCTTCACAGATGTTGCATTTTTTATGAGCTGAAGGCAAGACCCTCCTCCAGCAGAAATATTTCAACTCACTTTATTGCAATATTCGCCTTATTGCAGTAATCTGCAGCCAGACACGCCATATCCCGCCGCGTGCCTGGTCTCAGGAGTCGAGCACCCAAACCGCTTCCCGGCACACGCAGAGACGAGGTCACCGGAGGCGGCGCTGCTCACCCCCCAGCGGCGCACCCACAGCTCTCCCTTAAGGTCCTGGCACAGTCGACTGCCAAGGACAGTTAAGCTTTCAAAGTAGGAAGATCAAAGCGCTGTCGTCTTTTAATTTAATCCTTTTGTTGCATCAATGGTCTTAAAAGGGATGAGAGAGATCAAAATAAAAATGGAAACAAACTATATCTTTGTGGCTGTTGTGTTTTAGCCTTCTTTTCCCTCAATTTAGGCCACAAAATAGGTCAGCTCCATTACTGATCAGCCTTCCCACAAATATTTAAAACAAATTGAATTGCACACCCAATACCCATCACAATTACACCAGGCACAATAACTAAATTAGCAATTCAACAAAATAATTGGAAATGCGATTCTCTCTATTCCACCAGTCTCCCTCGGGGGTTCAGCCGATCTATGGGGGAAAACTCAGCTTTCCTAATTCTGCAGCTAATTAGAGACACACTTGTAAATGAAGTTGTTTGTCTTAAAGTTGAAATTCTCTTCTGGGGGTGGGGGGAGAGGGAAGGAGAGGCGAGCAAGGCCTTCCGCTCCGGAGCAACTGTATGAACAGGTATAAGGAGCACACGCCTGGGTTCTAATTAGCAGCCATACCAGCAATTAATAAAGCATCACTATTTTACCGTCACTTATCTGGTGATGAGCGACTTCAGCAGAGCCAGCCGGGCTGACGTCCTCGTCCAGAGGCAGGCCTTCTCAGGGCCCCGGGGACTGGTCGTCTGGGCCGCGCGGCGGGGCCATTTGCGGCAGAGGCTGGCGGGCCAGGGCGACAGGAGGGGAGCGATGCAGCCCAGGAGGTGGCCTCGTGCTCAGCCCCCCGCGTGGGCCTCCCTGGTTGGGCCAAGAGAAGCAAAGGCTTCATGTAAGAAAGCAGAGGGGAGGCGCCCGCGCCCCGCAGCGCCCCTCCGGCGGCCGGCAGGCGGCCGGCAGCAGGGACCCGGGGCGCGGCCGGAGGTGGCCGTCCGCCCTGGCTCGCCGCCGAGGCCACTCTCGGAGAAGCGACCTTGAGGTTTCCATTAGTCTGTCCTTGGCCTCTTTTTGTTCCTTCAGGAAGGAAAATCTCGGCTTAATTATGTAACTGAGAACTAGGGCTCACGTTGGTCCCCTCTTACCCTTCTTCGCCAAGATCAGGATGTGACCTTAAAACGCAAAGTCTCCGCAGGGCCCGCTCCGAAGGCTCCCGGCGCCGCTGGGGGGGCTCAGCGCCCAGGCGCGGCTCCCCGCGACCAACGCCCGCGCCCCCGCCGGGAACAAAGGTCGGCGGGTGAAACGGAGGCCCGGGGCCTGGGGCAGCCTCTTCCCCGAGACCCTGCTGAGCCTCGCGGCGCCCCGGAGCCTGCGGAGAGGCTGATAAGTAAGTTCAAAAGCACCTGCTCCTTCCTGCTTATCTCCACTAACAACGTGAACTCGGAGTTATCGCGCCCAACGTGTTCCGAATTAGCCTTACATTTAGCTCTCAAAACCCGGTGCCGTGCGCTACGACTTTAAAGGACACAAGAGTCACACTGGGAAACAGTTTTATGGCCTCAGGGAGTCAGTTCCCTGGCTGATCCCCCAGGAGAGAGGGGGCCGTTGGCCTCCCGGGACCCCCTTCGCCCTCTGGGCACCGAGGCGAGGACACCGGCTTCCCCACACCCTCCGGGCCCGGGTCACGCGCCGCCCGCCGCGCCCTCCCGCGCACGTACCTGCGGGGTGACCACACTGCGCCCTGTGCCCTCAGCGGGGGCTCTCGCCGGCCCATCCGTGGATCACTGTCCTCGTTCAGTTTCGGTGTTTGGTGTAACTTGCGAAAGGTTGGAAACTATTGGCATCGACCTGAGCTCCCCAATAGTGGCCACTGGCCACGCCGCCAGCGCTCAAAAGCCACAAGGTGCGGGACGGCGCAGTGAGAGGATTCTAGGCCCCACCCCCGAGGGTTCGGCGGCACAGCTCCGGCCCGACGCTCCGGACACTCCCGGCTCCCCAGGACGACTCGCGGGAGCGAGGGAGGTAGCCAGCCGCCCAGGGATCCTCGCGCTCAGAGCCGCCCTCGCTGAGGGGCAGAAATACAGAGCAGCAGGCTAATTGCTTCCTGCCCGGTGTCAGCCACACCTGCACGCTGATGATGCACCTGGCTGTCCCGCGGGCTGGGCGCGCAGAGGCAGCCGCTGGAGCCCGGGGAGGGAGTGCCCAAGAGCACAGGGACTCCTGCCCTCCTGCCGGGCTGACCTCTCACCATGAAGAAACAGAACCTTGGGAAACTGAGGCCAAGCCTGGAATGGGCTCAGAGCTGGGCGTCCAAGAGGACCAGCCAGCATTAATGAAGGCAACTCCAGCGGATCTGCTGGGCTCAATCAGGCCCCAGTTAGAGATGCAGAAGAGAACAGAGACCGGCCCGCGACTGTGCGCCTGCCGATGGTCCCTTTGCTAAGCTTCGACGGGGGCCTGGCGCACAGTAGGAGGTCAGTAAATAGCTGAATTAACGAATGTGGAAAAATACTGTTGCACCTCTGCTAAACCCAAATCTACCGCACTGCCGTTACTTTAGAAGCAGCTGCTGCAGATCGGGAAGGTCCTCAGAAACCAGCTTAGTGGACCCTCCTACTAATGTGAGGACCCTGAAGCCAAAGCTCAAAAGACTTCCTCAAGGTCACATCCTAGCAGGTTTGATGTATACTTCAGGTCTCTCCCCATGACTCCACCTTTCATTCTTATATTCTTTATTCAAAACACCACATAAATCCGTCCTAAAACTAGCTATGCCGCCCCAATCTGTTAGAACAGGGTACCACACCCCTGAACTAGAGCCGTCCCTCCCTTGGGGAGGGCAGACCTGAGAGGAAGCCGCCAGCCCCGCGGGACAAGGAGCCTGCAGGCCCAGAGCGGCCTGATCTCGTTTCCAATCCTGGAGGGGGTCCGTGGGGGTGGGGAGTGGGCAGGAACCTTTCTGTTACTGTCACAGTGTCTTCCGGGGACCTTATTTTTTCTACCCTACCAGTGATGTGGGAGTATTCTTTCTTTTTTGTTGTTGTTTTTAAAATTTTCTTTCTTGAGAATTCAGCGTCCTTGACCTCAACAAATGAACTGAGAACCCTCAACCGGGGGAATAAACCAAGCAAACGTCCCAGGAATATAAATGCTGCTGAGGCTACGACCGTACTGGCAGACCCCACGCCGTGGGTGATAACAGCTCGGGCAAGGAAATCTATAGATAAGCAAGGAAAACAAGAGTGGGACGGGCAGACTCGCTGCATCCACACCACCTCCTCTGCAGTCGGGCGCGTAGCAGGCGACAGAGCTGTGGGCGAACGGAATGCACACACGCCCGCTGGTGACAGGGACCCACTGCACTTGCAAGAATCAGTTCACGAACTTACCAAATTACTGGCAATTATTTTTGAAATGTTATGAAGAAAGAGAAAGTAAAAAAAGATGTACATAAAATGAGGTTAAGCCTTAAATAAAAATGAAAACGGCAAGCGCAAATGAATTCCTAGCACAGCTGTCCCCAATACACAAGCACGTACATAAATTAAAGTAAAAGCACAACCTCAGGTGCAGAAAACAAGCTTCATTCGCTTTAGACAAGGCTCACGCTTGTATCTGCAAGTCCACAGGGTGGGACTAGCAGGGCGTCACCAGAGGGGCAGCCAGCCCCCGGGGGCACAGAGCACGCCCACCTCTGACCCGAGCCCTGGGCTCCTTGGACAGCAAGCTTTCCCTGAGACGTGAGGCTGCCCGGGCTGTGAGCCCAGCCCAAGAGGACACGGGCTGGGCATCAACACACTCCAGATGCGGAGTGACCGTGATATTCTGGGAAATGGCTCCAGGGTTCATGACGAACGTCACATCTGGATTCATCATGAACCCTCCAACTCCGCTCCTGCTGGAAGAAATGGTAAAGAGGCACCAGGAAAATCACCCTCCACGAGGAAACCTAGAGGCAGGTGCAGCGTGTTGCTGAACGGGGCGGAGTGGGCCCTCCCTGGTGTTCTGCTGGCTCTCGGGGTTTGCAAACGACGCTGACTGAGTGGTCTGGGATGTGACTCTGGAGAGAATGGCTACACACCGGAAACAGTGGAGAGCAGCTGGGAGGAAGGTGAACCCACCCATGGCAAGTGAGCCCCACCTGAGATCTCCAGACCAAAGCACTGGGAGGAGCCAGAGCATGAAAACCAGAGGGGAGAGGGGGGAGCAACCAGAAACAGAGGCGGGTGGGAGACAGTGTCACGTTCTGTTTATCCACCATCTCTCCTGGGAGCATCTCCAAGCACTTCCCAGGTGGGAGCTCTTTAATCCCCCCAGAGGAGGATGGCGATGGACGGTTTCCCTGGGAACAGGAAACAAACCCCAGGATCAGGCTCCAGGGCTGGTCGGTCTCCACTCTCCACTCTCCGCCCCCCAAGTGAGACGTGAACGAGGGCCTGACCCGGCCCCTGGGAAGTGCACAGAGGGCCCTCAAAAGACTCGAGTTCTTTCACTGGGCTCACTTTGTTCCTAAAAATATATGCCAAGAAAAATACTAATTTTGAAAAACAATAAACAAGCTTTATGCCCAAATATTTCCCTGTAACATTATTCATAAAATCAAATAATTAACAATTTACATGTTCAGTAACGGGATTTGGTTAGGTACTGAAGATACATGCTCCAAATGGAACTGTAAGTTAGCAATTAAAATACTTAAATATCTGCTAAAACATGGAAATAACCTTCTACTGTACTCTTCACATTAAAATGCAGAGCATCCCACGCACCACTAGCTCTCCACTGGCAGCGTGTGTGTGTGGTGGGGGCTGGCAGGCACAGTCACGTGGGTGTTGTGTTTTTACTGAATTTAAAGGGTAAGTAAAAAATGTGAACGGTCCAGAAGTCGAAAGAACCACGCCTTGCACCCTGCTGATGGGAGGGACCGGCTGCCGCTGCACCCCACCCCTGCACCCCGAGAACTGTGCTGCTCCGAGCCTCAGTGAGAAGTGGAGGGCAGGGGACGACAGCCGAGTCTCACTGTCACTTGTTCCTTCTACTTCCCTGCAATTAATTTTTAACATAAAATGAATGAAGACAAGAAACCAGCCTTATCGTCTCTGTCCTGAAGGGAGAGGCCCAGCGCCCACTCCCAGCGCCTGGCCCTCGTAGGAACCTGGGCTGGGTGTCCAGTGTGGCCAGCGCCCGCCTCCCTGTACTGGGGAGGGCTTCAGGGTCTGCAGTTCATGAGTGTCAGGTGTGAAGTCCTCAGCTGGGCAAAAAGAAAATAAGCAAACTCCACACAAAAGGGAGAAATGCTTCCGTCAACACTGAAAAGGGGCTCTGAAAACTCTTGATAACGGTTCTCAAATCATTTAAAAATAAGCATTAGCTACCAAAATGTTAAGTATTAGTTTTATTAAAATGCAAATCAATCAACTAATCTGTCTTTCTAGTAACAGTTGAATTGCAGTATCCATGTCAATTAAAATAGTTTCCAATTTATTCTTGGCTGGAAAGAGGGTGGTCTTCTGAATTTTAAAATGCAAGCCTCCCTTTACTGAAAATTCTCTCCATTCTTTCTCATCTCTCCTGATTTTAATTCATTTTTAATTAAACAGACTGGACTCCAAATATTGTGAAGTACCTGTTTAAACCTTTTTCTCCGTCAGGCAGAGAGCGACTACGACAAAGGCCCCCTCCTCTAAGGGAGCACAGGTGAGCACAAGCTCACTGGCATCCAGGGGAACAGGTCACTCACCTGCTGCTCCAGTGCGAGTTATCCGAATCCTCGGGCTAACGGACGGGCTTGTGTGTCCTATATTTTTAAAGTGATCATTTTGAAGAGAGTAAGTGTGGGGGAACTCGTCTATTTCTGTTGATTGATCTTTGGGGTAACTGGAGACACACTGAAAATTAAACATTTCCCTGACAGCCAAGCCCAAGAGGTAACTACAGAGACAAGAAAAACAAATCGCCAAGTTCCAAGGTCCAATTAACATGAGATGGGAAGACCCCGCCCCCACTTGCCCCATTCTGAGCTCAGCAGACACTGATGCTCACGGGAAGCTCTGAAGCAGACCGCACTCAGGACGGGCTGCGTCCGGGGCCCGGCCTTCAGGTGCGATGCAGCGGCCCCCCGGACACTGAGTCAGTGATACGTGGGATTCCTGGGCGCAGAAATCTGTCACTTGGTTCTGACATTTTAAAACAATATCAAAATCCAACTTTAAAAACAACGTCTAGCCCTCGCTGGTGTAGCTCAGTGGATTGAGCTCGGGCCTACGAACCACACGATCGCGGTTCGATTCCCAGTCAGGGCACATGCCTGGGTTGCAGGCCAGTTCTCAGCAGGGGAACTCACAAGAGGCAACCATATATTGATATTTCTCTCCCTCTCTCCTTCCCTTCCCCTCTAAAGATAAATAAATAAAATTTAAAAAAAACAACAAAAAAAACAATGTCTAGTTATTAAATTAATTCAACTGCACTCAACTGCCGGGATGCAACATTTCTTCTCTAATTATGTAGCTTTAAATAAAGATTTGGGCAAGGCCCCCAGGAGATGGCCAGGCCCGTGTGCTGGTCCGCACGCGTTACTTATGCAAGATCATCTTCACTACATATTGACCACAGCAGGCCAATAAATCCCCCTTATGGGGATTTAATTTCCAGCTTGTGACCTTTGGATGAAAAACAAGTGAAT